TGCGTTTGTGTGTGTGTGTATCTTATTACTAGTGGTCATCAAGCCAATTCCAACTCATGGCAATCCATGTGTGTCTGAATAGAACTGTGATTTATAGAATTTAAAGTGGTTGATTTTCAGACGTCAAATGCCAGGGCTTTTTTTCCAAGGCACGTCTGGATAGCTTCCATACTTTTGGTTAGCAGCCAAGCGTGTTAACTCTCTGCATTACCCAGTTAGCATGCCACTGAGTTGATTCTGACTCGTGGCAACCCCACAAGTTTTTACCCAGGGACTCCTGGGTGTTCCGAGGTGTACAGATAGCTTGGTTGAGGCTTCTGACCTCCTCCTCTAACTGCACAAGAAGGTAAGAGAAACATTATTAGCAGCATCAGCCCAAATTTGATTTCTCTGATGCTGAGGTCAGGCGTACCTCTTCTATTTTCCCAGTTCCTCTGATGCTGAGGTCAGGCGTACCTACCTCTTCCAGTTTACCAATTCTGATCCCAACGCTCCCTCCCACAAAGGCCTCTCCTTTCCACTGAGTCCAGTGATTCACTCTAGTGTCCACACAGAATGCAGTGAATACAAACAGTTGTGGGGTTTATCGGGGAAGTAATAGGTTACAATTTAGGATCAGGAAAAGCTCAGTTTTTTTGGTCAGAGAAGATCCTTCTCAGCTGTGCCACAAGCAGGTCTCTCTCTCTCTGGCCCTTAGCCCCTCAGCTCCTCAGCCACTGTGGCCTCTTGGGCCAGCCCAGCCTCTGCCCTGTTACAATGCTCTTTAGTTCCACCAAAAAGCACTCACAGGCAGTTTACTCGGCTTTCTGTTCTGTGGGCAGAAAACCCACTGTGCCAATTCAAGACACTCTTCTGGTTCTGTTGGCACCATTTATCTGCTACGTCATCTCTCTGTCTTACGCCATCTCTGGTTACGGCTCTCTGTCTCATAGTCCAGCAGGCTCCCATGGCAGGGACTCTGGGTCCTAGGGACATGCTCTCTCCTGTTTCTTCTTGGTGGTAGTCGCCCCCCCAACACACACACCACTTCCAGGTGGCATTGCAAACTGACCAATCCCCTCATTAGAGTTCCATACACCTTATTTGCATTGCCTTTTTACAAAAGCATTTATACAATTGATGATTACATTGCAAAAATTAAATGTGAAGGATGCTGTCTCATACCATCAAATACATGTTAGAAAAATCACGTCAAAATTTGAAACTTGTTTTATATTTGATCCTTTCTAAATGAAAATTGTTTTATATTTGATAGATTCTAAATGCATAGTTTCAATTAGTATCTAAAATTTGTTAGATATAAGAAGAAACAAACTTATTTTTATAATTTTTATTTTTGAAGATACATGCTTGATGAATGAACTCTCTTGAAGAAATAAATGTCAAAGTCACATTGTTAGATGAGCAGGTGGGGTGTAAAAACATTGTTGAGGCCATCTTTAGAAAATGCAACCTACCCCAATAATTAGATCTCTGGGTGATACCGTTTGCACTCCGCTGGTAACCAAGAAGAGGTTGACAATTCCAACGTACCCAATGGCACTGTGGAAGAAAAGGCTTGGCAAATTGCTCCCGTAATGACTGTTGTTATTGTTTGTTGCTATAGACTAGAACTGCTCCATAGAGTTTTCAAGGTTGTGACTTTCCAAAGCAGACCATCTGTCTTCCCAAGTGCCTCTGAGTGAGTGTATGCCTTTCAGTTAGTAGCTGAGCCCTTAATGGTTTGCATCACCCAAAAACTCTACGGAGCAGTTCCGTTCTCTAATACATGGGGATGCCATGAGTTGAAACTGATTTGACGTAGTGGATTTAGTTTTGGGGATCTTACCCCAATAACTAAGGAGCTCTGGTAGCATACTGGTTATGCCTCAGGCTACTAACCTCAAGGTCGGCATTTCGAAACTACCAGCGCTTCTGCAGGAGAAAGATGAGGCGTTCTGCTCCCTTGAAGATTTACAGCCTCAGAATCCCTGTACAGGGTTGCTATGAGTCAGAACCGACTCCATGGTACGTAACCACAACAACACCCCAATAATTATCCTAAATTAAATTAAATTGCTTTCAGTGAACTTGTTTAAAGGCAGAGAAGTGTGTAACAATCACAAACTCACCTACTACCATCAAGCCTCTTCTGAATCATAGTGACACTGTGTATGATTTCCCAGACTGTAAATCTTTACAGGAGCAGAGAGCCTCATCTTTCTCCCTGGTGAAGAGAGACTGGTGGTTTGAACTGCCAACTCTATGGTTAGCAGTCAGGTGTTTGGCATCCTGGTAGCATAATGATTATACACTGGACTCTAATACTCTGTAATTCAGCAGTTAGAATCTACCAGCCGCTCCGCGGGAGAAGCATGAGGCTTTCTGTTCCTATGAAGATGGACACCTTGTACAGGGTCACTGTAAGTCAGAACCGACTTGATGGCACACAACCAGCCAACCAACCACCAGTCCAGTGCTTATCCTACAGCACCACCGGGGCTCCTTGTAATAGTCACAAGTGTTGGAAAATTCCAACCAAAATGGATAAAATGAAATAGATTTGGTGATTTAAGGGACACACATTCAACCACTAGGAAATGTTCCCAAATAGCCTATGATTATGTTCTTTGAAGAGTTTTGATTATAAATTAAAATATATGTGGAAGATAACCGAGTATTTTCTAAGATAAAAGGAAATAAGACCTGCTGTTGTTGTTAGTTGCCATCGGTACCGACTCATAGCGACCCTATACACAACAGATCAAGACACTGCCCGGTTCTGGGTCAACCTCACAGTTGTTGCCACGCTTGAGCCCATTGATGCTGCCACTTGGCCAATCCATCTCGCTAGGGCTCTTCCTCTTTTTCTCTGACCCTATACCTTACCAAACATGATATCCTTCTCTAGTGACTGGTCCCTCCTGACAATATGTCTTAAGTCTCAGAGACGAAATTTTGCCATCCTGTCCTCCAAGAAGCACTCTGGCTGCACTTCTTCCAACACAGACCTGTTGGTTCTTTTGGCAGCCCATGGCACTTTCAATATTCTCCAACACCATTACTCAAAGGGCATCAGTTCTTCTATGGTCTTCTTTATTCACTGTCCAGCTTTCACATACATATGAGGTTGTTGAAAATACCATGGCTTGGGTCAGGCGCACCTTAATCCTCAAGCTGACATCTTTGCTTTTCAACACTTTTAAAAAGTCTTGTGAAGCAGATTTGCCTAATGCAATACGTCATTGGATTGCTTGACTGCTGCTTCCATGAGTGTTGATGGTTGATTCAAGAAGAATGAAGTCCTTGACAACTTCATTCTTTTCTCCATTGATAAGAATGTTGTTTATTGGTCCAGTGGTAAGGATTTTTGTTTTCTCTAGGAAATTAATATCTTATCTGTGTCCCTATAAAATTACTAAGGAAGTTTTGACATTTACAAATGAAATCCACACTTACTAAGTCATAAGGATGTGTCATCTCAGTGTTGATTAAAAAACTGATGGAAGATTTGTGTACATTTAAGACTGTATTTCAGCTGTGATGGGGAACATAAAATTATAGCTGAAGGCAGCAGGAGAAAATTTACTAGAAGGGCTAAACATCACAAATATATATATTATGTGTATTTTTGGCTAATACTCTGTAAAATACTGTAAAATGGTTGAGTTGAAACATGGCATTTGGAAAAAGAACCACAGCCTTATAACATAATGGAATGTACGTTCTTGCATGAAACTGAATACATTTGCATATTTTCAAACAGCATAGTCAATTGCTATTAGAGTTTTTATTTGACTTCTTTTCATCAAAAGTTTGATTTATATTTTTGTCCAGTTGTGATTTCCCAATAATTCTTTTTGTTTCCGTGAATAGAGAATAGTGGTAAAGAGCGTGGGCTTTGGGATCAGATATACCTGTCTGATCTCAAAAGAAAAATAGGCATGTAAAAGTTCATATTTTGTATGAGGAGCAATCACTGCTTTTGGGAGCTGGTTGGATTACATTTTGGAATCCCCAGTGTACAAAAGAAAGATTACTGAATTAGGAAACAAGAAATCTAATTTCTACTTTTGATTCTACCACATTTTTTTAAACTGTCGTTGGTTTCAACCACAAGGCTGACAGTTCAAGCTCCGTTCAGCAGCTCCTCAGAAACCTTGTACAGGGTCTCTATCAGTCGGAACCGACTTAACCAACTCAACAACAACGTCTCTTTATGAAGTTCTAGTGTGACACTGTAGGGCAAGCACTAGACTGCTAATCGCAAGGTCAGCGGTTCAAACCTACCAGCCGCTAAGAAACCCTATACAGGGTCTCTGTGAGTTGAAACCAACTTGGTGGCATTTAACAACCACAACATCTCTTTAGACCTTATCATTAAATGGAGCTAGGGATAGCCTTCTTTTGACCTCACAAAATTACTGTGAACTCAAAAAAATAATATAGCTTTACTTTGTACCATCCAAAGCTTTTTCCCATCGGAGCAAATGCTGTTACTTTTGTTAGCAAGAGAAATATTATTAACTCTGATAATAGTGACAAGGAACTGAAAACCATAATTAAAACATTACTAAAGGTTATACACCAAATTTAGCATCTTTGCAAGGATATAGAGAAAGTGTTATTATTTAACAGCTGATAGGAAAATTCCTGTAGGGAAACTATTGTACATGTTTCAAAGACATACCTTGATGATTTACTTGAATGACCTGTTGTTGTTATGTGCTGTGGAGTCTGTTCCTAGCTCTGAGTACATTTAAAATGCAGATAAACCTGAAGGTAAGTGTGGAGTTAGGGGTGCTCTTTAATGTTTCAGGGTGAGTAAATGTGCAGGGATTTGTCAGAGGGGTTGCATATAAAAGATGAATGAAGAGAGACCTCAGATAATGAAATGTAACCATGTGATATAGTCTAAAGGGTAGTGGCCTAAGGATGAGGAGATCCAAGACCTTAGCCCATCCCTGCTTCCCCCAGCAAACTACTCTTCCTTACTTGTGTTTTCAATTTCCAACCTCCAGGCCATCAAGAAGCCATAGCAGTGTGCTTACACACCCAGACCCAACAAACAGTCAATGACACGTTGTGTGATGCAGCCCACCGTCCCCCAGCTATGAGCCAGGCTTGTAACGTGGAGCCCTGCCCACCCAGGTATGTTACCTTGTGCTCCTGGGACACATTGTGTCTGGTGCTGCCATCTCCCCTGGACGTGTATGTAGGTAGAGACTTGTGGCTTCACCCAAGGTAGAATGGGGAACCTGCTTTGGAATTTTCTCTTCTCTGCTCAAGATATGCTCCAGCCAAAGTCTTACTTAGATCTTTTCTCCAATGTTGCCACAATGAGCAAAAATTCTCTTTAGCTTGCCATTTGTTTGCATCAAAAACAAATGAACATAAACTGCCCGCTGCTGGAAAAACCATGAAGTCAGCAGGTTTGTTGTCTCTCCTCTCCCTGTCTTCTTGAGGGAACTTCTTCCTTTAATGTCTCACCAATTAGCAAAGGACCTGAGGTCCTGTGGATTTTTGTTGTTAATTAAGTGCCATCATTGTTTACAACTCTTAGCGACCCTATACGTAGGGTTTCTGAAGAGCCGGTGGGTTTGAACTGCCAACTTTGTACTTCACAGTCCAGTGCTGATCCTACAGCGTCACACCAGGACTCTGGGCTAGAGTTTGGCACAGTTGAATTCTAGGGCTCCTTACCTAGTTGATTGTTGATGTTAGGAGGGGCACTGGTGAGTTTGAACCGCCGACTTGGCGTTCCAGTCCTTATCCTGCAGTGCCACCTCAGAAGTCCAGAAAACAACAAAAACAAAACAAGCCACTGCCATACGTCGATTCTGACTTATAGCAACTTTATATTGGGCTGCTGAGACTAAACCTTGATAGCAGCAGACAGCCTCATCTTTATCCCAAAGAGTGGCTCATAAGTTTGAATCTCCAATGTTGTGGTTTGTTGTTGTTGTTATTGTGGTTGTCAGGTGCCATCGAGTCAGAACCGACTCATAGCGACCCCATGCACAGCAGAACGAAACAATGTCCGATCCTGGGCCAACCTCACTACCGCTGCCACACTTGAGTCATTCAATGATGCCACCTGGCCAATCCATCTCATTAGGGGTCTTCCTCTTTTTCTCTGTCCCTCCACCTTACCCAGCATGACATCCTTCTCCAGCGACTGTTTCCTCCAGACAGTATGTCCAAAGTATGAGAGACGAAGCTTAGCCATCCTGGCCTCCAAGGAGCACTCTGGCTGCACCTCTTCCAAAACAGATCTATTGGTTCTTTTGGCAATCCATGGCACTTTCAGTATTCTCCTCCAACACCACAACTCAAAGGCATCAATTCTTCTATGATCTTCCTTATTCACTGTCCAGCTTTCACATGCATATGAGGCTATTGAAAACACTATGGCCTGGGTCAGGCGCACCTTAGTCCTCAAGCTGACATCTCTGCTCTTCAATACTTTAAAAAGTTCCTGTGCAGCAGATTTGCCCAATGTCGTCTGATCTCTTGACTGCTGCTTCCGCGAGTGTTGACAGTTGATCCAAGAAGAATGAAGTCCTTGACAACTTCAATCTTTTCTCCGTTGATAAGAATGTTTTTTATTGGTCCGGTGGTGAGGATTTTTGTTTTCTTGACATTGAGATGTAATCCATACCGAAGGCTGTGTTCTTTGATCTTCATCAGTAAATGTTTCAAGTCCTCTTCACTTTCAGCAAGCAAGGTTGTATCATCAGCATATCGCAGGTTGTTAGTGAGTCTTGTGGTTATCAGGCCAATATTTAATCTATAATGCCACCAGGCTGTTTCCATAAAGATAGGGAAATCCTACAGGGCAGTTGTGCTTTGTCCTTTAGACTAGCTCTGAGTTGGAATCCACAGGCCGGTACAAAGATGCACACCACAGTAACCTAGTTTAAGGAGTAGCATTTGTCATCCATCTCATCATTTCTATTCTTATCCTCCCCCATTTCAGGACTTGAATAATCAATTCCTAACCCACAGTGTAGGGGAGTGCTGTGGCTCTCTAGGATAAGCATAGAACTGCAAACCACAAGGTCGGCGGTTCAAGCCCACCAGCCACTCTGCAAGAGAAAGACGAGATTTTCTGCTCCCGCAAAGATTTACAGCCTCTGAAACCCTATGCAGGGTCGCCATGAGTCAAAACCAACTCAAAGGCACCTAACAATGACAACCCACCCACAGCTCTGTCAGGGCTCCTTACCTAGCTTTCCAGCCTACAGGTCCGGGTTAGCATCCCACTGCTAAAGTCTATCTTCATGTGAATCTGCAAATAGCTTTTCTTCAATTTATCATTTCATTTCTATGTTTTTACCTTGTTGTTGTTAAGTGCCATTGAGTTGGTTCTGACCCATAGTAACCCTATATAGGATTTCTGTTGAGTGGCTGGTGAGCTTGAACCACCAATCTTGTGGTTCAAACCAACTTTGCAGTCCAGTGCATTAACCCATAGTGCCATCAAGTTGGTACCAACTCATAGCGACATTAGGGAAATTCTTCCCCTAAAGTCTCACCAGGAGCCTTAGTGCGGTGTATAATGATAATGTGCTGGGCTGCAAGGTCAGTTTGAGCCACAAGGTCAGCAATTCGAACCCACCAACTGCTCCTTGGAAACCCTATACAGGGTCACTATGAGTCAGAACCGACTCAACAGCACTTAGCAACAACACCAACATCTCACCAATTAACACAGGATCTGATAAGAGAAGGAAACAGCCTGGTCCTACACCAACCTCACAATCGTTGCTACCTTTGAGCTGACTGCAGCTGCCACTGTGTCAATCCATTTCATGGGGTCTTCCTCTTTTTCTCTAACCCTCAACTTTTAAAAAAGATGATATTCTTCTCCAGGAACTGGTCCCACCTCATAATAAGTCTGAAGTATGAGAGACCAAGCCTGGCCATCCAGGCTTCCAAGGAGCACTCTGGCTGTACTTCTACCAACACAGATTGGTTTGTTCTTTTGGCAGTTCATGGTACTTTTAATATTATCTTCCAACACCATAACTCAAAAGCATCAATTCTTATACAGTCTTCCTTATTCACTGCCCAGCTTTCACATGCATATGAGGTTATTGAAAATACCATGGCTTGGGTCAGGTACACCTTAGTCCTCAAGCTGACATCTTTACTCTTCAACACTTTAAAAAGGTCTTGTGCAGCAAATTTGCCTAATGCAATACATTGTTGGATTTCTTGACAGCTGCTTCTATGAGTGTTGATAGTTGATCCAAGAAGAATGAAGTTCCTTGACAACTTCAATCTTTTCTCCATTGATAAGAATGTTGTTTATTGGTCTAGTTCTATATACAGGTTCCTAATGAGCACAAGTTTCAGAGTCTACTCAGATATCCAATTTGGTCTTTTCCTTCTTTCTTTTCTTCTTAATGACCTTTTGCTTTCTTCCTGTATGATGTTCTTGATGTCCTACCACAACTCCTCTGGTGTTCTGTCTTTAGTGTTTAATGTATCAAGTCTGTTCTTCAGATGATCTCTAAATTCAAGTGGCATATGTTCAAGGTCATATTTTGGCTCTTGTGGGTTTGTTTTAATTTTCTTCAGCTTCAGCCTCAGCTTTCTTATGAACAGTTGAGGGTCTGTTCCACAGTCTGCCCCTGGCCTTGTTTGGCTGATGATATGGAGCCTTTTTCACCATCTCTTTCCACATATGTAGTCAGTTTGATTTCTGTGTGTTCTATCTCATGAGGTCCATGTGTATGGTCATCTTTTATGTTGTTTAAAAAAGGTATTTGCAATGAAGAAGTCGTTGGTCTTTCAAAAGTCTACCATGCGATTTCCAGCATCATTTTTATCACCAAGGCCATATTTTCCAACTACCGATTCTTCCTTTTTGTTTTCAACCTTTGCATTCAAATTGCCAGTGATTATCAATATATCTTAACTGCATATTTGATCAGTTTCAGATTGAAGAAGTTGGTAGAACTCTTCTTTTTCATCCCCACCGGTTTTAGCGGTTGGTGCATAAATTTGAATAATAGTGGTATTAACTGGTCTTCCCTGTAGGCGCATGGATATTATCCTATCACAGACAGCGTTGTACCTCATGACTGATCTTGATATGTTCTTTTTGATGATGAATGTGATGCCATTCTTCTTCAATTTGTCATTCCCATCATAGTAAACCATGTGATTGTCAGATTCAAAATGTCCAATACCAGTCTATTTCAGCTCACTAATGCCTAGGATATCAGTGTTTATGCATTCCGTTACATTTTTGACAATTTCAAATTTTCCTAGATTCATACTTGGTATATTCCATATTCTAATTATTAATGAATGTTTACAACTATTTCTCTTCATTTTGAGTCGTGCCCCATCAGCAAATGAAGGTACTGAGGGCTTTACTTCATTTCTGTCATCATGGCCAACTGTATTTTGAGGAGACAGCTCTTCCCCATTCACATTTTGAGTGCCTTCCAACCTCAGGGGCTCATCTTCTGGCACCGTATCTGACAATATTCTTGTGCTCTTCATTATGTTTCAGTATTCAAAATTTTGGTGCTGACCATGTTCCACTGCTGGTCATAAGGCTTTCAGTGACTAAATATTCAGAAGTTGCCTGCTTCTGCTCCTTCCTTAGTCAGTCTTCATCTGAAAGCTCAGCTGAAACCTGTCCACCATGGGTGACCCTGCTGGTATTTAAAATACCCATGGCACGCTTCCAGAATCACAGCAACATGGGAGCCACCACAGTAAGACAAACTGACAGATGACTGGATATTAGTGCGTCTTTAGTTTCTTTTCCAAACATACTCAGAGTGTCCTTCAGAACCATTGGTTTAAAGTCCCAGAATGCTAGGATTTTACAAAGATGTTTTAAGGATGCCACAATCCTTAAACCCTTTTCTATGTACTGTTTTCAAAACAGCAGCGTGAACTCATTCATTATTTATACAGTAAAACCTGTGCAAGCTGGAACCTGTGTAAAGCTGACACCTGTCTCATAGAGAGCCATAGGAAAGTGCTGAGACTGCGGTGGTTAAGGCAGACAACTTGCGAAACCTGGAAAAAACAAGGCAATCCCATCCAATTCTGGCTCTCAAAGGTGTCACTGTACCTATTCATACTTTATGTCAAGTGTTGGCTGTTTCAAAATGTGAGCACGT